TAATGCATATTACATTTTTTTAAATTTCAACATTTCACAATGCCTATTTTAGAACCAAATTAAGGCCTTTCAGGGATTATATAAGTACATGTTATTATGTAATTCATTATGAAAACTGACTAAATTAAATCTTATTTTTAATTGTTTGAACAGAATTATTATTTATATCGGTAATGACGTTTTCATCCAATATTAATTGTGCAATTGTTAAAATGCCTACCTACACATTTATTGGTTTTGTTTCTGTTGGCCTGAAATAGACATTTGTAAAAAAAAATTAAAAAATCATGCTTGATTAAAATTGAAAAAAAAAAAATTTAGCCATGTAGCCCTTTCCTGTCATTTGTTTTCAACTTCTTCCAAAGTAAAACTGGCGAAGCCTTGTAATTGCCATACAATCATCATTTGTGGGAAAACTTGTATGTTATTGAAAATCTTTATTTTGTTGTCTGTGAATTAATATAATATTTGAAATGGTGTAATGGTGCAAAATATTCTCAAACAATCGGTCTTCTGGTGGCACTACACTGCGCATTTATGCACAGTCAGTATCCCAATGCGCGATCTCAGCTTACTAAGTGATGATGGTGGTTGAAATGAAAAACTGAATACAAAAATATAGTCCAGTAACATCTCAAACAAATTTCTGTCTGCTGTGAATACTTGTTTCGTTGCATCAAATGAAAATCGCAATTTTATGATAGAGCTTGCGATATTGTGCATCAAATGCCATACAGGGTCAAGTGATTGACCAATAAAAAATGTGGTTTTTATGTATCAGGTCATTGAATGTATCCAAAAACATGGTACCAATGATCTGAAATTTCAGGAGTGCTCGCTGAAGGCTTATCATTCTTGCATATTGTCTTGTGTTAATAGATACAGTTCATGCTGTAGAACATGAATCAAACTCTTACACTGTTCAAAAATTAAATTTATTTCTTTTTTCTATCTAGAATTTTAGTATTCTCAAATTAATTTTAAATATTACATATATCTATTCTGTACCACATGTTCTTTTTAAGCCATCTTTGCTTATACTTATTTTTAACTATGATTTTTTTTTTTTTACAGGCAGCAGGGTTATTTTATATTCCTTTCTATATTGATCTATTTGCCCTTTAGTGGCTCATCTTCAATACTGCCCTATAGTGGCTCATCTTCAATACTGCCCTATAGTGGCTCATCTTCAATACTGCCCCTTTGAGACATATTATTCAAGCACAGTAATATCAGTCTTATAAAACATTGTAATTTGAATTTAATAATATCACTGATAAATATCACTGTACTAAGAAGACAATTATTGTTACTGTGTTTTTGAATTATTATTTTCCCTGAAAATATAGCTTTACTGCATTTACAGTTTCTTAATAAATGTTGCTGTATGTACAGTAAATACTTTTTAAACAATAAACCATACTATACTTTTAAGAAATGTTATTTGTACAATGCGAGAATGATTCTATTGCTTGGTGGTGATATAGAAACAGATCTAGGTTCTCTTGATATACAAAGAATGTAAGGTAAGAGTAGGAAATCAAACGGGCGGTGCACCGCGGTCATTACCGCGGTGTACCGCAGAACGCCGGGGAGAGCCGCGGACTGCTTATAATTAGAGGCCTCTACCGCTGTACCGGTCACAACCGCGGTCCTCGGTAATGTGTGAAATACGTACTTAACAGTTTCTTTGTTATTCCATGAGTCATTGTTTTAAAATCTGATGCTGTAAATGAATACGCTATGTGCGCTTGTTTAGTATTTAGTACATTGTACATGTATTTAGCGTCAATTTCCAAAGTGATGCGATACAATTTTTCATGGTACATGTAGGTATACCTTTATTACACTGGAATAAAGTTTACAATTGAAAAGAGGACGATTTACAAAGTTTCAGCGTATCCAAGCCGTATCCTGGTTCTTGATTGATTTGGCAGTATCATGTTCACCATTTGTGTCACACTCCAGAAAAAATGGCCAGCAAACGAAAAACGGGCGAACTAATCAAAACAGGTCAGGCTGTCTTGTCTGCATTGCACTGACAATGACATGATTATTTTCTGTTTCGTTTCATAAATCTTGCCTTGTGCATGTATTCTTGGTTGACAGAATCTTCTTTAAACAAAAGACGTTATTTTTCTGTTACATGTTCGTGTTCCATGGTACTCGTGAGTGTGTAAGGCATTTTGAATGAATAATTATTGACTTTATGATACCGTAGATAACGCGAGCTGGCTCGATTAGAATTTCATTGCGCGTGGACCGCTGAGGTCATTGCCCGTTACTGTGCCAACCGCACGTAGTTCAAAAGCACCTGACGTTGTTTTTGTTTTTTTCTTGCGATCGAATACTCTGCGTTCAAAGTACGCTGCCCCGAGTTTGAAATTACAGTAAATTGTAACGCATGGATTTTATTTACATGAAATTTAGTTTATTTCAAAATGATATAGATGTCAAACCATAATTATTATTATTTGAAATGTTGTTTCTTGACTTGACTTTTCTGGCTTTAATGTTTTGTGTATGCGTGTTTGTTTACAATATCATTATCAACAACAGTTATTCAGTGGCCCCGTCCGTCTCGGAGGCAGTGAGTCGCGGTTTTGACTAAATCGTGTAGTTATAAATTATACAAATTATACGAAAGCAACGCAATTTCAAGTCGACAAAGTTGAAATATTCACAACCTGTACGTAAACAACGGAAAATAAGTTTGCGTAATTATTACAAAGGCAATGCATTATCAAGTCGGCAAAGTTTAAATATTCACAGCCAGTACGTAAACAATGGAAAATAAGTTTGCGTAATTATTACGAAGGCAACGCATTATCACGTCGGCAATGGTGAAATATTCACAACAAGAACGGTAACAATTTTTACGTAGGCAACGCAGAGCCAGTAAAAATTTGCGTAATGGGATGTGTATAATAACAAGGTTAACGCGCGGAGCGCGAATGGTCACCAAGGTAACAACCCACTTGTTCAGCGCGTGACTTGGGGTTAAACTTGGGCCAAGGTTTATTAGATTAGTCAGTTTCGCCAAGAAGTGCGCTATTTTTTTCGCTGATCACCCAGTTGTTGTAGTATATATTGTAGCACCATGTGTGTGACACTCCCTCTTCGACTTCGGCTTCGGCTTGCTTTTCCTACTTCCTACTTGCATGGTCTCGAGGTACCGTAAACTGCGGCCTCTCATCAAGTGTTTTACACTTGGAATTTATACTTCGCCCGATTATATTGGTATACGCGAAACATTAATCTTTTAAAATAAATCCTGAGACCATACATGATGTAAATTCAAAATAATGTGATATTATTTTACATTATGTGGGGTCTACATTATTCTGGGTTGCTTTGCGATGTTATACCAAGACTCATGAAAATAAACTAGTGTTCTTCTGCAAACTAATAGACGATTTTTCCAATCTTCTGGTACCACTCGATTTTTATTATTTGAACTTGGCGGCAAGTAACATTTAGTTTCCCAGTCTATTGTGTCCATTCATAGTCTTAACAATAGGGTGTAAATTGCCATGCGAGCCTACCGTACATGACCGCGGTAAACCGGGGTTATGGAATCTATGCATAAATTTGCATAAAATGCGGTCGACCGGCGAGCACCCACCACCACCGCGGTAATGACCGCGGTTAACCGCGAGTTTGATTTCCTACTCTTCCCTAATTAACATGTCAAGTCAAAGAAGTTATTACATGTACTGAACATCAGGAGGGGTCACTCAGATTTATGAATGATATCTCTGGAGCAAGTACGTGTATGACAAATAGTCTTGTTGCACTTGTGTACTCAGAAACTCTGGACATGAATCAATGGAATTCTTCAATTATCAGTAAAATATTAGATTACGGAAAATTACTTTATGATGATGTGTATCTGCATAGACAGAATACTGATTCATCATCCTACTTGCAGATTTCAGATTTAAAAGTTTGCTTCTCAGTTGAGTTGTATCAATTTTGGTGTTCTCCAGGTATATTTTACTGATCATTTTATTGTCTTGTGTTTATACTAGCATGCACTGTCATGGTTTATATGCTCAGGGCAAATCACTGCATCAATCACATGCAATAGAGTTCGGCAACGTGATATCACATGCAATGCAAAGCAGTTCAGCTAACTGATACAGAATAACCTCATTATTGGAAGTATATTTGGACGGTTAAAATGGATTGGTCTAAGAAAAGAAAAGAATTTAACTACACACTGAATATATATCACCAAACAAAGTGTAATGCTGTAACCATCACATCTGCACACAACCTAATAGCGAGTGTAATATTTTAACGGGGACTCTGTCATACATGACTTGTCATTTGTTTCTTAAGTACCATTCAACAGATTTTGATGAAACTTGGTACATAGATGCCCTTTGATAATGCGCAAACCTGATTAGTTTGGGTTGAAATCAATGTGATATAAGTACTGTTGCTGATAGAGACATGCAACTTGTGCTATGATTTTGTCTGACAAGATATATGACCAAAATATCAAGTCATCATATAGAGTCATTATTTCATTAATTATTTTTGATTGTTAAACCATAGCTACTTGAAACCCTGCAAATCATTGCTTGCTCTTGTATGCTGTATTTGCTTCATGCCTCCAATATCTTCAGCACACATGAGTTCTTTGATTACCCTTGACATAAAAGCAATTACTACAGGCATGTGGCAAGAAAAAGATGCATATAGAGCATTATACCCATCTCTATACAATACTGCATTAAAATTGACACACAGTTAATGCATGGAGCCCTTTGGTAGACATGCATATGCGACTTGGACTGCTGCTAAGAACAACACAGAGACTGTGCATTGTTACACTTATTAAAAGTAATATTATCTTACAAGAATTTTACATTTCCCATTCAAAGATTTCTCAGAAAGATTTGTGCAGATAAAACAGCAGCAGACGATACAGACTTTGACATTAATTTGCATATGGACAGTAATGTTGAGTTGTTATTTGCTCATTACATTAGGCTTGGAAGACACTTCCCCAGAAGAGCTACGATATTTCACGTATGAAGCCAGAGAAGCTGGTAAATGGAACCAATATGTAAGTTCTAATGGCTCTACCATCAGGAGGAAAACACATTGTCTGTGAAGACAAAAATTATCAACCAAACCCAGTAATCAGGAGGCAGTAAATAAGAAACAAAGAAATTTCAAACTCTACATTTTGCATCAGAACCATTCTTCAGTAGTATCACAAGCCAAAATGAATTGACAAATAAAATAAGAAACTACCGGGGTAATCAGGGCAAAGAAAGGGCACTAAAATATATATTTATTCCAGCTGTGAAAGTGTGCCCAACATGAGGATGATGGGTATTTTTGTGTCATTCTGATTTTTTAGGTTTGTTTGATATTTTGTTTCTCAGAGCATCAGTTCTTGGTTTATATGTGTTAATGTATTTGCACTGATATCTCAAGAACTATGTATGCTCCACATGGTTACAGTACAGTTTGAGTGTAACTTAACTTTCATCTGGATTACAAAAATCACTGTATATTCCCTAAATATGTCTCATATTAGTAATTAAGTTATATAAAGAGCAAGTTAAAATTATTGATAAAAATAAAACCAGCCTGGAAGTTAAGTAACGCTCAGGAATTTGTTTATGTATTTAATATCTATTTTCTATAATAATTATCTAATTATTTTAAACCACTCATCAGATTTCAATGAAACTTGGTACACAATAATTATTCCTTTTGTTATAATATTTATAGAGATAGGTTTCTGTTAGTATTATATACTTCAATTATGTGGATTGCTTTCACAATAAGTGCATCTCAAAAACAGAACTGTATCAGTCAACATGCTTCTTGTTTTATAGGCAAATCTTCAATATTTCTGGCATGTATTTCATGCCTTCATTACCCTCAGTAGACAGGAGTTGAAGCTTTCATTGCTTTTATTGGTTGTAATTTTAGAGTCAAGTAATTACCCAGTCAGTTCTTGAAGTGACTAAAAGACGAAATGATCTGAAATTCCCTGACGCAGCAATTAAGACAAAAATAGTAAGTATTGAATCTGAAGGACATCTTGATGCATTGCATTTTGTTTCAAAGAAGATGTCATATTGTGACATGCCTGGCATGATTGCATTTGAAAGTTACACAAACATATCATGAGATACATGTGAATTTATTTGTTTCATAATGTCTGACCAGCGGCCATTTTTGGTGGCCATTTTAAATCTTCCAAATTTGGGAATAAAAATCACAGAACAAAATTAGAATCAGTTTAGAAACAGTACAGTTTAGATAAGTTAATAATAATTCCCTTATAAAATATGAAAGAGATTTTTGTATTTATTCTTATAGATTCAAGTTTATATTGGTAATACAAACATAAGAACAGTGTTTTCATCACCATTATCAACACATGCTATACTCAGTGGAAGGTGAGTTTAATATATACAGTGAAACAAGTATCAAATGAATTCTAATTTAGGCGTCATTTTTGGAACAATTCAATCATTCCTGACACCTAAATTAGAGTGGGATGCTTTTCGTAGCCACTGATACCTATTCAAGATTACAATATAGTTTATTCTGATTAACATGGAGGATAAACTCCTTTTTGACTAAGAGCTGCACTGTTATCATTGGAAAAGTGTCAGTTTGTCTTTCAAAAATTACTCCTAGTAATTTCCTGTTTTTCAAATCATGTCATTTTCCCTGAAAATCAAAGCAAACAGATTTTACTTCAACATTGATGAATTAATTTGGTTGTTGTGTTGGCTGCACAAAATTGGTCAATAACCAGTTCGATTTATTGGGTCAAAGAGCACAATAGTTTCATGCATGAAAAAAGACATGGCAGATATTATTTCAAATAATTACCGGTAGCTTCTCAGCATTTTTTTTTATTTAAAACTTGTTCTATACTTGTCAGTACCAAAAAAAAACACCCCAATCCATATCACATTAAATCACTGGGTATTTTTGGGAGGGCAATTTGACTGTTTGAGATGTATATTTTCACTCTCATCAATGTCATTGTCTATGCCATATTTAATTTATATTATTATATTATTGGCACTGTAGGAAAAAGTTGAAAAACAATTCTGTCCATATTGACAATGATGACTGCAGCATCAATACATTGTTTTGTCTGAACTAACTTGAACTTGTACCATAATGCATCTGTGTAGATCGTTATCTAAGTTTGATTTTACTTCATCTCACCTGTATATTTAACAGAGACTAATGGTCAATGCTTTATGAAAAACATATTTTTTTATTATTTTTTATTTAAATGTACATGTAGTAAGGGAGTCTCTTGGAATAATTAGTCTCCATTTGACAAAGTCCAAAACAGGAACTTAGGTTTTGTTTTCTGTCTATGCATCCGCATAGTTGTGTTTTAGTCTACCCCAAATCTCAGAGGAACAACATTTAATCAACAGACCGTTAACGGCAAACAGTATAACTCTACCCACAATGCACTACTACAATGGGTATTGGAAAATCTCAACAACTTGTAGGGAATATAAATGTATGAAAAAGCACTTCTATATAATTATTATAAATGAAAGACCAGTTAAATAAAAACTGGCAGATGAGGGCGCTCTCCGTCAATATCGAGAGCTGTCCGGTGACTAGTATGCTGGTAAGGTAACTCAACGGAATGTGTTCTAGCATTTATAGAACACGAACACAGTAACTGCTTTAACTCGATATCGTTTACAATGAAACAGTACTATTCACTACATTCAATTACCCACCATAGACTCCGGTCAGTCAAAATGACTATTTTAAACTGTAGGCATTAATCAGTGATTCTGCCCATGACGGAGAGAGAAAATCTAGGTCAGGGGAAGCCTTACGTCATATTACGTGATATTCACTCTTTTCTTTATCTCCGCACCAACGGGGATGAAGTCTAGCGGCTCTGCCTGGAAGGCTTGCTTTTTCCTGTCCTGGGTTCTGCATTGGGTTGCTACCACGGCCGCGGTAGTCGACACTGTGGCTGGTAGGATAGGTTTTTCTTATTATTTTTACCCCTGTGTCGTTTCCCCCTTTGTGTGTATAATTTTTTACAACAAAGAAAATAAAACTCAGTGACAAAATTTAACCACGTCGTTTCTTTGCGTCACCTTTTCCAACTGTATTTCGCTTCCCTCATTCATGTCATGTTCATTTTTATGTTTTACCAATGTATTTAGAAATGGATAGATGTAATGACAGCACCAGAGGCTCGCCTCCGGTTTTGTCTCCTTATTTTTCGAGGCGACTGTGCAGTGGTTATAATCAAAATTTACCAGCACGGAACCCCCATTCGAAATGCTATTTCTGCCATGACTGCATGCGGGGTTCGGGGTTTTTGCCTTGAAGGCGTGTGTTTTCACTGGAGTTCTGAGGCCTGGGATGTTTTCCAGAGCCATGCAAAATCGCTGAGACTGACCGCGTCGCTCGTATTTCACAGCAAGGTCGCTCGTCCAGTAAAAACCGACAACGGCGAGGCTGTACCCCTAGAGGTCTTTCCTCCTAAGGGGCCCGTTGCGGATCCATCCTCACACAGCGCCAGGTTTGCCGCTGAGATAAGGGCTTTGGGCAAAGGACTGTCAGGGCAAATTCGAATCTCGGGTGCCCCCCCCTTTCGGGTTATGTACAGCCCCCTACATTTCACCAGGTGGTGCTGCTACTTCACTAAACGCTGAGAATTCGTTCTTGTTCTTGCTGGTTGATGGAAGGTGAAAAACTAAACGATTAACCATGGGAGGGTTAGTGACAGTGACACAACAGTGTACAACAGTGCTTAAAAATATGGAAAATAATAAATGTCCGGGGATGGACGGTTTTAGTGCCGAGTTTTTTTGGTCTGACATTAGGCAGTTTGTTTTAAATTCATTAAACAAAGCATATACTTCGGGGTCATTGTCTGAAACACAGGGCCGTAGTATAATTACATGTATCCCAAAATCTGATAAAGATAGATCTTTCTTAAAAAACTGGCGCCCTATCTCACTGTTAAATACAAAATATAAAATTGCATCGGGTGTTTTGTCAGGTAGAATGAGGAAAGTGTTGCCTAGTATTATTCATAGTGATCAAAAGGGTTTTCTAAAAGGACGGAATATTGGTGAAAATACGTGTTTAGTTTATGATGTATTGCGTGGGTTCATTGTAAAAGACAATCTGGGCATGCTTGTTCTGCTCGATTTTACAAAAGCTTTCTTGGAATTTTTTTGACAAAACGCTAGATTTTCTTAACTTTGAGGAACCATTCAGAAAGTGGGTTGAAATCTTTTATTCCAGTGCCTCAAGTTGCGTAACTAACAATGGTCATTTTTTCGATTTTTTTCAATTACATAGGGGGGGGAGGGGGTGCGACAGGGTGACCCTATATCTCCATATCTTTTTATTCTTTGTGTTGAGTCGCTTGCCCATAAAATACGTCACTGCTCAGACATTAGTGGGGTGACCTTATGGACACAGGAATTTCTTTTAGGTCAATACGCAGATGACACATTTACCTTTCTTGATGGTTCAGAATCGTCTCTAAAAAGTTTATTTTTTATACTTGAACAATTTGCATACATTTCAGGTCTCCAGATAAATCATGATAAAGCAAGAGTAATTTGGATAGGATCAAAACGCCACTGTGAAGAAACTATGCTTCCGCACCTAAATTTAAATTGGTCTGACAAGCCTTTTACATTATTAGGTGTACATTTTGACAAGGATTTAATTCTGTGTGAGAAAATTAATTTTGATGACTTGGAGACCTTTGACATTATGTGGCATGGTGACAGTAGTGAAGACATTAGCGTTGTTGAAAATGGTACACATATTATCTGTGTTGCCTCCTATGCCAGTAAAACAGACAAAGTCTATTATGAACATTTTTTATGAATTCATTTGGAATAAAAAACAAGACAAAATTAAAAGACTTCGTTTGTGTTGTGAATACCACAATGGCGGTTTGAGCCTAACTCATTTACCATCTTTTATTGAATCGCTTCATGTCTCCTGGGTAGATAAGCTGTTATCTAGCCAATATGACGAAAGTGGCTGGAAACGGCTATTTCAAGCTTATACTTATATGTATTGCTCATGTTTTAAAGTTTTCAGTCAGAAACAAGCCGCCGACTTTGCTGAAAAAAGGTTAAAGTCAAACCCTTTTTGGTACCATGCTTTTCTGAGTTGGTTTAAAACAATTACATGTACAATCCCTTACTCAAAGCAATGCATTTGGTTTAACCCAGATATCTTAATTAATAAGCGAACTATTTTCTATAGAGGTTGGTACCAGAGTGGTATTGTATTTCTATCGGATGTACTGGATGATAGTGGCAATTTCCTCACCTTTAAAACTTTCTCAGACAAATATAACATATCATCAAATCAATTTTTAAAGTATTTTGGTCTTATTGATGCTATTCCTGGAAATTGGTTAGTTTCCTTGAATAGCAGAGATAATGAAAATGAATCTACCCTTACCCATATTAAAAGAGCTTACTCAGAAATCGTAGAGAGAGTATATAGGTTAAACCTAAAAACTCAAACCTGTGTGAAAAGTGGGAGAGGTTATTTGGCACAAATCTAAATTTTGAATATTATTTTAAACTACCTTTCATTATTACTGATGATGTATCACTCAGAAATTTTCAATACAGACTGATTAATAGAATTACCACTACAAACAGGTTTTTAAAAATACGTAATATAGTTGATACTGATAAATGTACTTTTTGTAACAATTTTCCTGAAACACTGCTTCATTTGTTTTATAATTGTATTCATGTCTCCTCAGTGCATCGCGATCTTGAATTGGCTCTTGACAATAATTGTAATATTTCAGTAAATTTTTCATCAAAAGATGTCATCTTGGGATTAAATGTACATGATTCTAATTTAAATTCAGACTACATTCTTTGTTTAAAAAACCTTTTACTGCTGATGAAAAAATATATTTTTACCTTGCCCGTACCATCAAAGATGGAAGGAAAAGGTATATTAAGGGTTAAATTTTTGTTCGGCGTTGTTGTCGTTGTCGTTGTTGTCGTCGTTAATAATTGTTATTGTATGCACAATAACTTTACTAATTCTATTCTAAACTTTATCAAACTTGGTCACCTTATTTATCAGTATAAAGTCTTCCCTGAGTTTGAACAACAGATGTCCTGTATGAAAATATCATGCAAAAATTGAGAAAATCTGATAAAATATTTTGACTGTTTCTACTTGACTGATCACTGGTGATACACATCAAAGGTCACTGATCTCAGTGGAATTATGCATTGTTGTATGTGTTCAATGAAGCAAATCATTTATCTTGTAATAATATCATTGGTAATGTATATCCCAAATCCCATGGGAATACTATACTGAGTTTTAAAACCAACTCATGGAGAGATTTTTTTTTTCACAGTCTGATACACATTTGCAAATCTACCAATAAAATCTTTACAAAAAACAAGATGTCAGAAAATCAATATAAGCACTCCTATGAACTGGGTGCCAAACTTTGATCATGATTTGAAGCTAATAGAAAATCTCTTTAGTTCAAACTTATCAAATAAAAAAACAGTACATAAAAAATACATTAAAAGCAAAATGTTGCATCCACATTTTGAAAAGAAAATTGTACTAAAATATATGTACCGTATTTATCCGGGTATAAGCCCAGGGTCTTGAACATGGAAAATTGTCAAAAAGAAGGTGTGGGCGTTTGCCAGGAGATCCCCGGCAAAAAAAACGAAAATTCGCGAAAATTGACAACACACAGATCAAACTGCGGCAGGGAATAGAACGGCAAATGAAAACATGCAACCGAAATAAATGAACAATATGCAACACTAGAAGTAAAACAAAAATAATGTATTGCTTATAATGTGACAAATATACCAGAAATAATAAAAATCGACAGTGAGGAATCATTTGAATTAGGATTTTCCCGCCGACAAACACGCCCAATACGCGTGAACTCAAAATGAATTAAAATGTCAGGGGTTAAACTGCGTAAAATGATTTCCGGTTCCGACAAATTACGAATCAACCGTCATACAAATTCAATAATAATTTACAAATTTACACAGTAAAAATTATATAAATTCATAGCTGTTTGAAAAAAAACATCTCGGATCTTTATTTGTACGTTCATTGCCATCTTCGTCAAACTCAAAACGATCAAATGTCGAACAAAATCCCTACAACTTATTCGTCGATATCGTCCCACACAATTTGGACTTAGCACTTTTAATCCACGGATTTCGCAGTCCGTCAGCTTGGCACTTTTCATTCATGTCTAATCATAATAAAGAGACAAGAAAAATGGGGTCGCTCTGCTGCGATGGCACACGATGCTTTTGTTTACAGTCTAGCAATCATCTTTGACCTTTATGCATCTGCTTTACTGATTGGCTAAGAATGACATCACTACTAGTATTTCATCATAAAGGGCAAATCGTGACATTGCTTTCTTATCAGACTGTTGACTTCTCTCTCCACTGGACACCAACTAACTATTTAAGTTGATTTGCATACAAAGCAGAGCTTGCAACATGATAGCTATTCATAGAGGGTGTTTTGTTTTTTTACTTTTCAAATAATACACTAGTCACACAATGAATATAATAAGGCAGTTCATATTTGTCTCAGTGAATCTTTAATTTTTGACCTGTACAAAATACTCAGACAAAAGCCAGCTAAGATTTTCTGGTATCTTGCATGTTTTATGAATCTATTCACGTCTTAATGCAGCACTTTTTTCTGCAATGAGGCATTTGTTTTTATACTAAAATATCTGAATTACTTTGAATAAAGCTGGAAATTATGTCCCTTAAAATAATTAAACAAATTAGGCACCAATGTTTTTGTAAGTTATTTACATCTATTAAGGACATTTGGTAGACTGATTCCCCACTGTTGGGTCAACCCCAAAATTTGTTTGTATTCAAAATTAATTATGACAATGTATATTTATATTGTAACAAACTATGATAAAATGAATTATATTATATAACAAAGGGCAAGGTCACCAGAGCTCAACTATGTTCAATAGTAGGTACAAAAAAAAAAAAAACATCGGTACACATCAATCCATACCTAGACGACTGGTTATTACATAACTCTAACAAGGGGTTATTAGCCGAGCAAGTAAGACTAACACAGAATTTACTTTACCAGTTGGGCTCTTTAGTAAATCAGACAAGTCCCATCCCTACCAAATGCAACAGTTGGTGTTCCTGGGCATGGAGTTCGACACAGAGGTAAGCTTGGTATAGCTATTTGAAGCGTGTTACTTGGCGCTAAGCAGCCTAGCCGAAAGTTTAGTCAGCGTTCCCTCAGTGTCCCTTCGAGAACTAATGCGGATCATCAGAATGATGACTTTGGTTCGAAGGGTAGTTCCTCAGGCCGCATTACGCAGCCGCCCGGTACAACACTTGTTGCTACAACACCGAGCTCACCTACGGGAACTAGACAGGTGGGTATTGATCTCGGACCAAGTGAAGGAAGCCCTGCCCTGGTGGTCGTCACTGGCCAACCTCGGACAGGGGGCCCCCTTGGACCCACTCGCTGCAGCTATGACTCTGGTAACAGATGCCTCCTTCCAAGGTTGGGGAGGGCACCTATTGGACAAACAAGCCCAAGGTATATGGCCCGCATTAGTTTTGGGACTACCATATCAACCGACTCAAACTGAGAGCAGTGTACTTAGCACTACCACGCTTTCTACCCATAGTTTGAGACCACAGAGTCCTGCTCCGCACAGGCAACCCAGCAGTGGTCTCCTTCAACAAGGGGGGGGGGGCGTGTTCCCCATCATTGTCAGTCCTAGCAGAGCAAATTCTCTTTTGGTGTCTGGAATACAATGTGGAGCTAACCACACACCACCTTCCAGGGGTTATGAAAAGTCTGGCAGACGCCCTTTCGAGGCGGCTCCGTCTCTAGAACACAGAGTGGCAGATACACCAGTGGGTAGCCTCCAGGCTGTTTTCGCTGTGGGATGGTCCAAAGATAGAACGCCTAGCTCTCGACGTACGTAGCACTCCTGCTGACTCCAGGAGCCTGGGCCAGGGACGCCTTCCCGATCCCATGGACCCACATAGATGTGTACGCCTTTCCTCCCTTCCCGCTAGTTCACCGGGTACTGGAGAAAACTTTGACAGGTGCACACCTGCATATTGACACTGGTCGCACCCAATTGGCCAACCAAGGCCTAGTTTCCACCTCTGTTGGAAATGCTAGTCAAAACTTACCGGATGGCGCACTACCAACAAGCCCAGCGATGTATCACTTGCACGCATAGAGGCTCTCAATAGACTCGCACAGGCGAAAGTCTTGTGTGAGCGGGCTGCCAACATCCTGGCCAGGGCGAACAGGGATTCCACCAATGCTGCCTACAATTCAAGGTTGCGAGCATACACTGATTGGTGTAGCAAAAGGGAGATTGATCCATACCATCCCTCTATTGCCAGATAGCAGACTCCTTCGTCCACCTGTTTGACGAAGTGGGTTTGTCATACGCAGCGATCGTTGGCTACAGGTCGGCCTTGTCCCCCACCATTGAGAACGCTTTGGGAACAAGACTAGCCGATTGTCCTATTATTAGGAGACTATTTACTGCTTTCCATAATCAGAGGCCGTGACCCCGAACAAGGGAACCCAACTGGGATTTGTTGGTTGTGTTGTCCGCTCTAAGTAGTCCGCCCTTTGAGCACAGGCAAGGCAATACACCACCCTCTTTTGGGGTCTTAGCTAGGTGATGAGTGGTAGTTGTAGAGTGTATCATCCCGGACTGGCGTCTGCCTATAGTTCAAAATAGTCATTTTTACTGACCGGAGTCTATGTAGGTAGTGAATTTAGACAGAGGGTTCTCCGAACCTGCCTATTCACATAGTTCATACCCACCATAGCGTTGGTCTAGTCTTCGGTGCGGAGAGAAAGGAACCAGAGTGAATATCAGGGTAAGATGGAGTCGTCACATTACCTCGGTCACATGGTTCGTGATGTAAGGGAAATAAATCTTGGGGTCATGGGGCTTCCCCTGACCTAGATTTTATCTCTCCGTCATTGGCAGAATTACCTTGGGTAATTCTTTTAGATTTGTTCATTTCATGATGATATCTTCAATTCTCTGATTTGATGAATATTTTTGTCATTTTTGATAAAAAGTGATATTTGTGACTTCTTGTTGAAAACAGCAGGTCCAATTGCTTTGATATTACATATATAGGTACTACATGTGGATCTTTCTCAGATTTGTTCATTTCGTGATGATATCTTCAATTATCTAATTTTGATGAATATTTTTGTCATTTTTGGTGAACAGTAATATTTTCAAATTCTTGTTGAAAACTGAAAATCTGATTGCTTTGATACTAATACATATTGTTCATTTTCTAATGATTTCTTCAGTTCTTTAATTGTAATGTGCATTGCTAGCAGGGAGCTATCTCAGCCGACAGACTGCTTGTTTATTTAGTTGACCTTTGGCCGACCCCCCCCCCCCCCCCCAACATTAAACATTTCATTAACTGTTTCTCAGTCTTGTCATGACAGATTTCAATCAAACTTAGTACTGGAATCCTGGTTCATAACTTTGTTTCACTATTTTGATTCAAAATGGATGCTTAATTGTTAGAGATAATTTTACAGACTTAGTTTAAATTTGAAACAAAAACAAGAACTAATGGGTTGAATGTTGTCTTCAATTATTATTGGATTTACATGAAATTTTGCTGAAAACAAATGAAATTAACAAATTTTAACATGTCATCAACTGGGGGATGCCTATGTGGATTTCATTTAAATTTGAATATCACAAGTAACGGATTACTGACATACCTTAGTTTGTTTTATGAGTTGATTCAAAATAGCCAACTGGTGACTATTTTTGCCTGAAAAAATCAACATTCGAAAATATTGTAAACTGTTTCCTAGGCATGCCC